TTTTCTAATTATGAATGCAGTGGATTGGTGGGAGAGTGACTAATGCTTTTGGCCCTATCCCACAGGTTTTTTGCGTTGGGAGTCCCGTCGGTGCCATGGCTATTCATATTGGTTCGGAATCCACTTTAAATCGTAGGTCTGATTCTAATATGACTGTTAAGCGTAGGGCTGGCAACCCTACCACTTAAAAACATAAACATCTCATGTCTAGGCACCCGCCAGTAAACAGACGGATATAGGCCCTTTATAGAGCTGTTGCGCCAATGAAAAAGAGTCATAAATGTTACAAAATTGTCCCTTATTTTGTTTGAAAATATACTTTAATATCAGAAATAGTCACTAAAAGCATTTAGTTTTATTTTGATTTTATAATTACTAACAGTGAATTTGTAGTAAACTTACCTACAAAATCGAGTGTAAAATGTTCACTTAAGTACTTTAAAGTTCTAATCTTCATTTAAGAAGACTTATGTTTGGTTCTTGTATGTTAAATATTTGTTATACTAATTTTGAGAGGATGGTCATTAATTACATACATCTGTTTTTAGCAGTTTTCGAACTTTTTAGAAAGATCTTCAATGTTTGTTATTTTTTCTCCAAAAAATAGAATTATTTGACAGAAATACATTTTATAATAATAAAATTTATAAAATATTTATTCACAAGGAACATTTTTAAGATGAGTAATTTATGAAAATTAACTTCAATATGTAGAACATTGTGTTACGATGAATTATTTTTGCCTATTGTCGCCAAAATCTTAATTTGGCGACAAATTGTGAAATGACTTATTTCCATATGTCTGCTTAGTATAGAGATTTATTGGAGAATTTTTATTCTCATTTTTTAAATAAAATGTCATTAATAAATACACTAATAGACAATTGACATTGTAAACTGACATTAATCAAACAAATAAACTAATCTGTTTGCTTAATAAAGGTGATTGTTTGTCCGAAGTGAAAAAATATTGAGCCCTCCTCATATATTCTACAGTTTGCGAAACATTACTATAGCGAGATTCTACAGTTGATACAAAGAACCTTTTTCTTATAAATATAAAATGGCTTTCATAAAGATAGATTAAAGATAGGAAAGAAATTTTGTTTAGAAAAATATTATTTTTATTATTAAAATTTTTATTTATTTATAATAGTATCGCTATTAAAAATTTAATAATCCAACCCAAGATGTAAAGACTACTGCACTAAAGAACTTTTTAAAATTGCGCATCCGCTTAAACCGAATCCCGTGTGTATTATTTTAAATTAATGATCCGTCACTTTGTCAAGGAACACCTGTTCGGCGTTGTTTTAAAACCGCTGTTTGTCATCCCAGTTGACTCCTTCTCCTAAAAAAAAAAAAAAAAAAAAATTACGGCCTGATGGCCGATTGGCTAGTGCTCCGGCCTTTGGTATCACAGGCTTCAGGTTCGAATTCTGGTGGTGGCATGGATGTTTCTGAGTGGTTCGGAATCCACATTAAACTGTAGGTTCTGGTCTAATGAGCCTAAAGTGTGCAAAAGATGACCGTCGAGCGACAAACCAAATCAAACCTAAAAAAAAAAAAAAAAAAAAAAAATTAATTGATATCTGAATCACTTTACAGAAAATATGCACAGATCATTGTTGTCAACGGATTTCGGTTTTCGGTTATTATATATCGATAATCAAGCTGCCCGGTGGAGGTTTTCTTCATTACGAAATGCAAATACGGAACCGTAACCCTTAAAAGTCCTTCCAGTAGGCGTCCGCCTACCTTCAGCACACATCGATGAGTTTCTTGTGGTATACATTCAGCCCGAATTACTAACTTACAAAATTTCCAAAATTGGTTACATGGATTAATTATGATGCTTTCACATTCATGAAAAAAGAAAAAGCAAAACATTATTAAAATCATCCAATTTACCTCATATATTAAAATTATCTTTATAAAAGATAATTTTATATATCAAATGGTTTATATCACAGCTGTATATAAAAATCTCAATAATATACTAATTGTACGCAGAATTCTATGTATTTACAAAATACCTAATGTAGTGTGCTGGTTGGGCACCCAGTTTGTAACTGGGTGTGGTTGGGTTGAGATTCTTGAGGCACAGGTTTGAGAACTCACAGCTTTATTGACACACACATACATTTAGAAACGTACAATATTTAATACATTTAAAGACAGATAATTATACAATACATTAGTGGAATGACTCCACTTCTAAGTCGAAAACCCAAAACTCGGATACGCGCAAGGTGCGCAAAAATATGCTTCCTCTACGGGTGAGAGTCTGTAGGCCAACTGACAATTTCTCCTGAACGCCACAGGCTTGGGGTTGCCTGTGGGTAGAAGGTATCATCGTTCTACTAATAAATTATTGTTATATCATTAAATAAGTGAAAACGTACCTTATGATAGTTGAATTTATTCTAGAATATTTATAACCTAACAATTAATGTGTTGTTAAATATATTTTCATTATATATACATAAATAAGTAACTTTATTGGAAAGATTTTTCAACTATCATTTATTAGTTAAAGCTTCAATTCAACCCGTATTTTTGTCACTATTTTGAAGGTTGCCAAATTTGCCGCCATTAGTCATTCTAGAATTCGCGTATTATCGCCAAAGATGATATTTAAATAACATTCCCGTCCTTGAATGATTATTCTTCAAGTTCATTGTAAATATTTTTAGGAATTACGAACTTTTAATTCGAAAATGACACTGAACTTTGTTATTTAGTGATTGTGTTCGAACAATGGTATACATGTACATGTCAGATAATTGATGCTTATCTTAGATTTAGCTGGATTGTTTCAGTAATCAATCAACTAAACATTGTCAGTTGATTAAAACATTTGTTTTCCAAATACCGACTTTTGTTATTCTAGAAGTGAATTGCACTGTAAACACAATAAAATTCAAAATTTACTTTTATTTTTACTTTTTGATGTTTCTAATTTTTTTTAATAGGAATTTTTAATAAATATAAAAATATTTTTTCTTGATTTTGTTACTTGGACTTCTTATTAATAGCATTTCTGTTATTTTAGAAATAAAATTTATTGAAAAGAACGAATTCTCTATGCCACGCAAACGATTCTTAACTATTAGCAGATATGAATTGGTAGTTGCTTGGTTATAGAAAATAAAATAATAATTTTAATTAATTTAAAATAATAATTTAAGTCATTTTAATCTAGATAAATTTTATTAAAAAATTAATATCCTTAAAATGTGGAAAAAAATTAAGATTAAACATCTGATAAAAATTATCGTTTGGTGTATTATAAAATAAAATTTATTAAAAGAACAAATTCTCTATGCCACGCAAACGATTCTTAACTATTAGCAGATATGAATTGGTGTTGCTTGGTTATAGAAAATAAAATAATAATTTTAATTAATTTAAAATAATAATTTAAGTAGTTTTAATCTAGATAAATTTTATTAAAAAATTAACATTCGTAAAATGTGGAAAAAAATTAAGATTAAACATCTGATAAAAATTATCGTTTGGTGTATTATAAAATAAAATTTATTGAAAAAGAACAAATTCTCTATGCCACGCAAACGATTCTTAACTATTAGCAGATATGAATTGGTGTTGCTTGGTTATAGAAAATAAAATAATAATTTTAATTAATTTAAAATAATAATTTAAGTCATTTTAATCTAGATAAATTTTATTAAAAAATTAACATCCGTAAAATGTGGAAAAAATTAAGATTAAGCATCTGATAAAAATTATCGTTTGGTGTATTATAAAATAAAATTTATTGAAAGAACAAATTCTCTATGCCATGCAAACGATTCTTAACTATTAGCAGATAGGAATTGGTGTTGCTTGGTTATAGAAAATAAAATAATAATTTTAATTAATTTAAAATAATAATTTAAGTCATTTTAATCTAGATAAATTTTATTAAAAAATTAATATTCGTAAAATGTGGAAAAAAAAAAAATTAAGATTAAGCATCTGATAAAAATTATCGTTTGGTGTATTATAAAAATAAAATTTATTGAAAGAACAAATTCTCTATGCCACGCAAACGATTCTTAACTATTAGCAGATAGGAATTGGTGTTGCTTTGGTTATAGAAAATAAAATAATAATTTTAATTAATTTAAAAATAATAATTTAAGTCATTTTAATCTAGATAAATTTTTTTTAAAAATTAATATCCGTAAAATGTGGAAAAAAATTAAGATTAAACATCTGATAAAAATTATCGTTTGATGTATTATAAAATAAAATTTCTTTGAAAGAACAAATTCTCTATGCCACGCAAACGATTCTTAACTATTAGCAGATAGGAATTGGTGTTGCTTGGTTATAGAAAATAAAATAATAATTTTAATTAATTTAAAATAATAATTTAAGTAATTTTAATCTAGATAAATTTTATTAAAAAATTAATATCCGTAAAATGTGGAAAAAATTAAGATTAAACATCTGATAAAAATTATCGTTTGGTGTATTATAAAATAAAAATTTATTGAAAGAACAAATTCTCTATGCCACGCAAACGATTCTAACTATTAGCAGATATGAATTGGTGTTGCTTGGTTATAGAAAATAAAAATAATAATTTTAATTAATTTTAAAATAATAATTTAAGTAATTTTAATCTAGATAAATTTTATTAAAAATTAATATCCGTAAAATGTGAAAAAAAAATTAAGGCTTGAACATCTGATAAAAAATTATCGTTTGGTGTATTATAAAATAAAAATAACTTGAGATTATTTATAGAGAAAAAAATTTTAAATGTTAAAAATAACCATCAAAACCATATACAACACAACGTTTGAAACTAAAGATTTTAAAATAAAATAATATCACCAAATAAACTTCAATCATAATCTATTTTAATTTCAAATAGATTATAAATATAGTGATTATGCCGTGTGATATCAGCGCGTTAACGTGCCATCATGCTACCAGATGGCGCTCTACATGAAATTTTAATTTAAGAATAAACAAGTAGTTTCCGAAGATCACTGAAGTCAAGCATCATTGGGGCGCTGTCAGTACTTGGGTGGGTGACCACCTGGGAACACCGCGTGCCGTTGGCATTCACAAATTTGGGACCTGAATGGCCGCCGAGTGTCTAGCTCTCTGGCGCTAGGTGCCACAGGTTTCGGGTTCGAGTCTCCGGCGGTGCCATGGGTATTTGTAGTGGTTCGAATCCACTTTGGGCCGTAGGTCCCGGTCCATATGACTGTAAGAGCGTCTACGGAGCAAAAGTCAGGCTTCTACCTTACGGGTGCTCCATCACAACAGAAGCTGCTTCCTTCCCTTCAATCATGAGTACGTATATCGTGGGCTTGGCCTAGAAATGTCTGGGCCAAGTGAGCAAGAAACAACATGCATCGCATATATAACTTAATCCAAAAAAAATTAAATAAATTGTATCAAAAATTAATGAATGAATTATCATTCGAAAAAACTGTATTGATTACAGTTATCCACTACAAGTTCAAAAATGTATTTGAACTGGAGTGGATGAATAAAAAGTATTTTTATTGACGATTGAAAATTTGAACAAGATATATATAGGGAGAGCGTGAACTAATAGAAGGAATTGAAAAATAAACAAATATATATATATATATATATATATATATATATTTAATTATAGACTTATTACCTCGTGAAAAAAAAATTTAAAAAATAAACCAATAAGAAATATTTAAGTATAATAATTACTAGATCGCGTAATTAATTATTAATTCTTGAAAGAAATTTAAAAAAATAAAAAAGAGACATTGAAAATATTCCAGGACATCATTGACCCACTCTCCCCATAACAATACCCATATATTTTAATGGGCAAAAAATCTCCCTGTTGTTTCCCTGCAAAACATAAAAACAATTTTTAAATCGAAAATGTTAAAAAAACCAATAACTTAAAAGATTTTAATTTATACATAATTAATATTGAACATTACAAATTGAATATTGCATTGAATGCATATAAAGCATATTATATAAAATAATAATATTAATAAAAATAATAATAATATAATATTATATATAAAGCTTAGTTAAAAAAATATGTATTTGAACTCGAGTGGATGAATAAAAAGGAGTATTTTATGAATGATTGGAAATTTGAACAAGATTGGGAGAGCGTGAACTCTCTCTAATGCAGCTGGCAAACACAGACAGCTTGGTCT